CTGACTGATTAAAACGGTGTAATCTGTACTTAACTTCCTTGGTTTCTACCATCTAAAACAACGGCAGGTCCTTCTCATATGATACTACCTTACACCAAATAGTTACAATTAATAATAATAGTAAATAAATTAATATTAGCACAGACATTACAATAGACTTAGAGTCGTTCGGGTCAAGTGTGCGCACTTTTACCTTTGGGACCTCATTGTAAATTAGAACAGTGTAATTAGAAAAATAAAAGTAGCATATTGAAATAAACATTTATTAGACTTTAATTTGAAAAACAAACAAAATCTGCAAGTATCTTAGTTTTCATTCAAACAGGTAAAAACAACTGAAAGTCACAATGCGAACACTTGACCCGAATTGTGGGTAAGTGTGCGCATAGCTATGGGGTAAATAGACGCACTTGGGGTAAGTGAACGCATTGGTTAATTTAACCGAAAATAAACTTATTTCACCAAAATTATCTATCTTATTTAGTAAATTCAATGAAAATTAACCAGAGTCAAACATTCCGCCTTCACAGCTTCCAAACATTTTTGATGACTTTTCAAAGTGATTCTCAATTCATTTGCTTACAGTCAATCGCAAACTCTGCCTCTTGACTTTCATTAAAAGTTGGCTTAAACCGACCCATTGAAGATGCAGCTACGTTTAAGTTAAGTCTTTTGCGAAGACATGAGTCGCTTTTACCAATGGCTCCTGCAGCAGCACGTTTACTTTTACCCTGTTCAATAAGGGGTTTTGCTTTAGCGATTTGTTGTTCCGTGAGAGGCGCAAGTTCAGGTTTTTTTCCTAATTTAATTTCGAGGCATGACGCTGAACACTAAAACAAATAAGTAAATAAGATTTAAGTAAGTAATAAATTATATAAATTTATTATATTCCCTATATACGGAATCCGGGGCAAGTGTGCGTATGCGCCCACTTACCCGCGCACACTTTCCCCGAGACCGCAAAATTTAAAATAAGAACGACTGAGTCCAAAGTTATGAATATAACCTCAAATCACGCTTACGAATTTCAACAAAAATGTGCACGTTATTAAAAATATATGTCTTACCTGGTGTTGCGTTACAATTTTGCGTGGCAGAGTGTTTTCCAAACTACAAAAAAAAAACAATTAAATGGCCAAAAACAGTTTTTTGTAAATACGTAAACAACAAAGCGTGGTATGGAGCACTGACATATCGCGATTAGTTTGTATCGCCTGTAGCTACGATTGACCGAAACAATCATCCGCCCCCCTCGCCCTGATCATGAGATATGGGCAATGCGCACACTTACCCACTGCGAACAGTGACCCCGAATGACTCTACTAGTATTATAAAATACCACACACATTGCTCAGATACTCTCACCAAATTAAGTAAGTAAAGCATTTGTATTATAGAAATAGTGAGAGTAACTAAACTATGTAACATATTATATATTAAGTATTAAATCTATATTAAATCTTAAATCTGAATCTGAATTGTTCTGAGCTCGAAAAGACACTATCATAAATGTCTTTTTTCGGAATTGAATCTGGGACGCCAGAGTCTGAACACCTTGAAACTGGCGTATGTGCTAGTCGTCCAAGGAAATCGTCACATCAGGGGTTGCTCCGGAGCTCTTCTTCCCCCCCCCCATGATTTTATATAATAAAAGATGTCGTCATAATTATTACACGTTTATGGTATTGTCTAAACATTCCGTAGAGAAGTTTTGCGCAGATCGGTTTAGATTAACTCTTTTTTATGTTTTACAATGTATTACAGGCTAGCTGCCCCGCGACTTCACCTGCAACTTTACCTCTTTCTAATATAAGTATTTTATATGTTCATATAAAATATAAGCTTTAAGTCATTACCACTAAGGGTAAAAGGAGAGTTATTTATTAACTATTGAAGTTAGGCGATATTTTTTACCAACGGTAAAAAAAGGAATTATCTCTATACTATGAAGGAAAAAACATCATTAGAAAATTATGTGGAAGTTCAGAAAATCTATAACGACAACAACCTCGAAAAGAAATACTTATTTTTATAAGTATATAATTTATTTATTTGAAGGGATAGTACACAGCTCATTATAATATTACAATTTTAATTATAATCTAAAGGCCAATTACGGCTATCCAACAAATTACAATTTTCTTAATTATCAGAGAAACAGGCGAGTGCTCCATTTAAATAAAAACAGTAATATTAAAATTATTAACTATAATATTAATGGTTGTTAGTTTCTTGGCTAAGTATTTTATGTGCATTCTTAGTTAAATATTTACTTTTTGTATTTATAGTTATATAACTGTATTTTGTAAGTATATAAATAAATAAGGAAGATACCAAAAAATGGATAAACAAATAAATGAATATAACCTACACATACTTTTGTGACAAAAAAAAAGGAAAAAACAATGTTATTGAGATACAATCTTCTCATGTTCAGTCAAATTGCTCAAAAAAATCATTTCGTAGTTGTCATTATTATGTACGATATTACAGATCAATGATATTGCAGATCAATGACATTGCAGATCAATGATATTGTAGATCAATGTTAATAGTCATGCATTTTCAATACATTTCGATATACACCTGCATAAAATATTTATTTGTCAATGACTAAAAGGTGCATATATGTACTAGATAAAAGAAAATATTTTTAAGGATGAACTAAAAAACCACTACACAGATTTAAAAAAATAAATATATTGATTTTTTGTTTCATAAAAAATGGTTGGTGCTGATTTAGCTTTTGTTCATTGTCCTTTAACAGTTTATGGAATGTGACCTGTGAACCAAAATATTTACATTGTTATAAAATGCTTACGACCTAAAATGATAAAAAATATGTTCCTGATAAACCTATGCGTCATAACTATAGTAAGTAAGTAAAGTTGAATCAGTTTTGAGCGTTTCTAAAATATTGCCATTTGCCTTCCTATTTTTAAAAAGAATTTATCTATCATTGTTCTGATTGTATTCGGTTATAGATGACTAATTGAACAGTCTTTTTTTATTTTTTAAGGTTTACCAGAAACAAAAAACATTATTTCTGTCGTTTATGGAACATTTTATGACTAAGGCTTCGATAAACTTTATTTTTAGCGTTTAACTACAAATTGTAAGTAAGAAGTTTTAACGGAAAATAGTAATTTATTGGTTAATTGGTAGACTACAAGGCAAAGATTTTGGTGGTAAAGAAATAGCTTTATTAGTGCCTATATATAGCAATTAAAAACAAAAACAGCCAAGTGCGATTTGGACTTGCGCACGAAGGGTTTCGTACATCCATCCACCCATTAAAAAAAAAATAAAAAATTACATTTGGTGTTTTCTAAGGAGTTGATCGAAATTTTCGAGTTAAACACAATTGGTTGACTATTACCTAGTCGTAAACTTGCAAATATAACGAAGGGTGAAGTTTTCCTTTTATTTTGACTATTTAGGTGGTAGGGGGTACACGACTCTAACAAAAATGAGCCCTTTAATGCTTAACAAGTCTATAAGTCTAAATCGGAAAACAGCTTCCCCAGAAAACGATGCCCCACGATATGGGGAAGATGAAAAAAATTATCGTCCCCACTTTACCTTTAAAATATTCTTTTTTCATTTACCCACTTTGTCGGTGTAATTAACGAGTATACTCATGCAAAATTACAACTTTTTGTTACCAATAGTTTTTGAGCTAAACCGCGTACGGACGGACGGACGGACAGACGGACATGGCGAAACTATAAGGGTTCCTTGTTTACTACTGAACCCTAAAAACCCATATAAACATATGGGTTTTTAGGGTTGATATTATTATATTATCATATTCTTGATGCACATACATACGACATATATAATGGCATAATGCATACCACTGTAACCAAAACCATAAAAAAAATATCAGGTAGGTAACTAATGCAGTTCCGAATCAAGATAGAGCGGTGCTTGTAGCAAATTTTAACCCCAGAAAACAAAAAAAATCGTCCTTTACTTTCCAAAGAATAGCACAATTAATCTGTGACTTCAGTTTTATTTGTCAGCTTATATTTATATTTTAAAATATGAGTTTAGTCAAAAACCTATTCTTTCTTAATTCTTGCATTATTAACACTTATTTGAGAAATTTATTTATTGGCTCTGAACCATATCGAGGCCCCTAATTGCGCGGGCTCCCAAAGGCATTTGCTACTTTTGCTATGTGGCTAATCCGGTCCCGAACTAATGGACATAATACACTCTTTGTTTTCTGAATATATTTAAAACATTGAATCCATAACATGTATATTTTTTACGCAGCTTCTCACTCTGTAGAAGGACATCATTTTCGTGATTTTACAATTTTTCTTATTATAATTATGTCTTATATTGAAAGTAAATTTTAAACAAAAAAAGTTCTTCAATTAAATTTGAAATAGAAACTCATGAGTAGGTCTAATTGATTAAAGTTTCAACATCATGACGACATCAATTCTACAGCCTACAGCCTGACGACAATAGGATGATACGATATAGAAATATACACAATTGTAATTCTCCAAACGTATCAATTCGTCGTCGCATGTTAATACAGGCAATGTTCAATCCATTAAAACAATGGTCTCACATCGATATCGGCGCCCACGCAATGAATAGAACGTCAATCTGGTTTGATACTTTTTTCACCTGTCACCTAAAAGGCGGGCGGCGAGATTCAGAAGAGCATTCGTACTCCTTGAGGCTTTCACGTTGACCGCCATTAGTCGTTCGAAAGCCAATCAGAGGGAGGGGGCGGGGCCATGCGCACGCGCCGCCTGCGACCGCTAGCAGATTCAGTGTAAACGCAACTGTCGTACGATAGTCACGTCTGACTTTACGCTGTAACATTTTATTTATTTTTTTTGCGTTTGTGCTAATTAATAAAGCTGTGCTTTCTTGAACGATTACGTGATATTGACTGTTGTTAATTGAAAATGTTATTGTGAAGTGACTTTAGTGACTAGTATCTGTGTTTGTTACGAAGGAAAATAATCGCAAACATGATGATGGATCAGGCCCATTTTGGAGAATACTTGCTAAGGCAACAGATGTTGCACGCCGCTTCACTCAGTGGATTGCGTAAGTTTAATTAAATATGGTTACAATATATGTGATGTCTGAATTTTTATGTAAAACTAGGATAATCCAGACTAATAATATAAATCCGAAAGTAACTCTGTTATTGTATTGGTTTCGTTTTCACGTCTACTGAATTAATTTTAATGTGAACTGGTACACAGATAGTACCTTGGGAAAGCACATAGGATGGTTTTAACCGTGAAAGAGCTAAATTTCACGGAGGTGAAGCCGATGGCGGAAATTATTAATAAGATGCAAACTGGAGAAGGCTTATCTACATTTATAAAGAAATTGATGTTATCTAATCTACATTAGATTTATCATAATCATGTTTTTTCATTTATATACTAGGTGTCTTTACTACCCACTATTTCAATGAAGCTTAATTGATTTGCAAGAAGTGGGTATACATATATTTTACACCTACCTACACGTACTATTAAAAAATATTAAAATGTCTTTTAATTTCTTACAAACTTTATTGAAACTAAACACATGAATACAAGTAGGGTACACGGTCATATATTTTGTTTGCGTCACATAAAGTAATATAATTTTCATATGAACTTTTATCCAACAAAGACCGTTCAGATATATAACTTTGGAGATTTTTTTGTTTCCGTATAGGTACTACACAGTTGTTGATTACTGGCAATTGTTTTAAATACTAGCTTTCCGACAGCGGCTTCGCCCGCGTGGTCCATATAAACTTCACCGCCTTATTTCACCCTCTTAGGGGTTGAATTTCTGAAAATCCTTTTTTTGCGGTACATCAACCGACTTATATAAGTCAGATTTGTTAAATGTTTGAAGTACACCTTTTAGGTATTAAACTTGCTCAAATTTGTTTAATAAATAAGTAATATGAGTGAAAATATGACAAACATAAAGATATATAATTATTACAAACATTTTATTACCAATTTAGAGAAAAAAAAACTTATTTTGATAATTAATTATGCGTGTAATCGATTTCCTTTGGAAAGACATCAACGCGTGCAGATATGTGGGCTAATAATATAATTGTAAAATATACCAACAGTGTTATATATTTATGAAATTGTGTAACTTTTAAAGACGCAATCGCTCTTGGACGGAATAATAGTTTGAATTAACAAGAACTATAATAAAAACTTAGTTTAAACCCGTCGAGAGATTGCAGTTAACATTCAGCTCTTTCGTTTATTTATAATATCTCAATAGTCTTAAAGAATTTATCAACGTCAAATTAACGACATTGGTCTTTCAATATCTTGCAAAAAAAGTTTGCGATCGCAATCATTGTAATGTCAAATAGTTGTAGTGTGATATCCGTGAATCCTGACTAGTGTATGTCTACCACATATTATTCTGCACCATTTCTTGATCTTTAGTAACTAATATTCTTGTAGGAAGAGAAAATGAATGGTGCCGTGATATATACTTTTATTGCTTTTTTTGTTATAATATATTTAATTAACAAGATTTTACTCAATCTTCTATTGAAATATTGTAGTGATATGTGTACTTTTTATCGCGTAATCCATTTAGTCCGTCAGTCAGATGATAGAGAAATATTAGCTTATTATAAATTTTTATATGCTTCAATTAAACAAGAAATGCTTTAGATAATAGGCTATAAAAATGAGGATTTGGGTCTCACTACGTCACAGCTATGTAGAAAATAAAGTATTACATGTGACGTCATGTGATATTACAACTCGATGTAACGCCGCAATTTATTGATTACGCAAAATGCACGTGTTTAATATTCTTCAATAAATCTACCTGACGGACAGACAAAAAAAGAAGTTACCATCCCTATTCTTAAAGATTTCCTTATAAAACACGTTTGAAAACTTTTTATTATTTATAATTATGAATTGAAGATAAAATATTCCTTTGGTCTAACTGAATCTTCCTCTCATACCTAAACACCGCGTTACCGAGTGGAACATGGCTAAAGAACATTAATTAAATACGAGTTAATTAGATTTTCTTAAAATATTTAATTGACAATTAAACAAATGAATTATTTAAGAATTGCATAATTTTATTCATTTTGTAGTACATACATCCACATGTATTACTGTCTATTATTAAAAATTCCTCTCCTAAAAATAGGTTTAGCTCGCGAATTTATCCACATGGTAATGTTACTTTGGGTAGCAATTACAAAAACGCTAAAACATATATTTATATCTAGCTTTCCGCCTTTTAATATTTAATTGATAATTAAACAAATGAATTATTTAAGAATTGCATAATTTCTTTCATTTTGTAGGACATCCACGTGTATAACTTATTTATTATTGAAAATTCCTCATATAAAACTAACTTTAGCTCACGACTTTGTCCACGTGGTATAGTTACTTTATGTTGGTATTGTAAGAACAATTACAAAAACGCTAAAACATATATTTATAACTAGCTTTCCACCAGCGGCTTCGCCCGTTGATCCTGTATTATATATTAAACCTCCCTCTTGAATCACTCTGTATATTGGTGAAAAAGGCATTAAAATCCGTAGTTTGAAATATCCCAGCGTACAGACAGCGGGAGGGAACCGACTTTCTTTTATACTATGTATTAAGTGCTTAAACTTTTCATAGTTTTAACTTTCACAATGACGAACATCTATACAATCTTTTATCCCCTATTTTAGCCGTATCGATAGCCCTATAAATAGTAGCGTATGTCCTTTATCAAGATCAACACTATCTGCTCTGCGATTCTATAAAAATCCAAACCCGAATTCGAATCCACACAGGTGATTACAACACAATTACTTCAGAAATTGCTCTTATGTAATTTTTTCCGTTAAAAAATGAGGTATCTTTGTATATTTGACTTCTGTCCTTTTTACTTAGTTAATAAATCTTCGGATGAAAATATCCGTTGATCAGATTGTCTTGTAGCAGAAACTAAAAGACAATCTGATCAATCCACTATAACTCCCTTGTTGCGTGGCAATTGATTATCGACATTTAATACCTTAACATAAATTACAGACAGCTTAAAAGATTCGATTTTACTACCCGATAAAAGGCCGAATTTGTACAAATTACCTATTACTATAAAATATAGTTCTTAATCTTCTTGATAATTAAATCATGGCTTTTTCTACGTTAGGATTAGGTTATCATGAATTTCACTAACGTCATTCGAGAGATAGATAAGAATTCATAAGAAAATTATGAAAAAAATTTCCGGTATCCGGCAGCGGGTTCGCCCGAGTTGTCCTGTTATTATACATATTGATATAAAACTTAATTTAAAGGTATCAGCGTACAGACAACGGGAAGCGATTTTGTTTTACGATATATATAGACAGAAAATAATAATACATCGAGAGCTCGAGTGGTTAGTTTTATAAATTTTAAGAGAAACATTATAATGCTGTTAGTTATCGAATCATATATTACTATTTTATGCTATTACGCTCACATGAATTATCAATTTAATCGCATACAAACAAAAAAAAATAACTTGTCAATCATATGTTGTCATATTCTCAGCAATTACTGAATGTAATAACCCCGGTCTCATTAAAGTCGTATCATTGAGTTTCTTTAAGAGTTATACTATCAATCAGTATTTAATAAGTAGACATATAGTACGAGCCAATATTTGGCAGTGCGGCTCACATTTATATCAATAATTTATAACTTCCTTTTATACATTCGTGCAGTATTACATCGCGATCAAAAGCGCCGCCCGCCAAAATTTATCGTACGATCAAACATAAAACTTTAGTGTGTTTCGCCTGTTGAATTTATATATGCAATCATATATTCATTCCTATTGAATATGTTAATGTTATATCTATAAATGATTAATCAACGTGTAAAGTAATTGATTGGTTGGTTGCGTGCGCATCTCAATGGCTTCGCTTATAAGTTGAGTTTAATCACATGCAATTTATTAATTATTATAACTTGAAATAGACGTTAGAAATATTAGAAAATAATTACATGCGACTTTTATATTAAAGTGATTGCAGCGAATATAAGTATTAGAATGATTCAATCATTAGTTTTAGTTATTATAATACTCTGTCTGAAAAATAAACTAGTAGTTTTGTTTTATTTTTAAAATTGAAATTTAAAGTACCTATTTTTATGAAGTTTGCGCAATTTAGTATGCATTCTTTCTAATTTAATTGACTTAAATATTTTCTTATTCAATCTATAAATTGAAAATGCTTTTCCGCCATTTTGTAATTGTCATTGTAAGCATTTCGAAGTCGTAGCTTTCAATTCTAAAATGCTAATTTCGATGACGTCTCAACTTGATCTATTTATATTTATGTTCCAAATGGATTGCACAAGAATTCAGATGTGTTGCTGTGACTGAATAAAAATATATGTATGATTAGTTGCATATACAATTAGTAATTCTGATGTTATATTGCTACGTTATCCTTTACATAACTTCGAATAAAATAATCTGAAGTTCAGAAAAATTGAATTACAGACCATTACGATGATTGTAGCCTTTGAACATTAGCATAGGTATTTATAATCTTGAAATTTTTTGTGTAAATCCTCAAGTGCATTATCGAAATTACGGTTTCTTGTGAAAAAATCTAATAAACTATTTAATGAAAGTATACCTTTATTACCACAGTTAAATACCTATGGATAGAAGTAAACGCATTATGACAATACGTTCTTATGACATCAAGCCATTTGTATTTGTAAAATTCACATTACTAGAGTGATATGAAAAAGTGTTTCTACTTCAGTCTCACCATATTATATCTAGAAAATCATAGATATTTCACCGGTATACATACGAACCACATCTTTATGTCTTCATATTATGATAGAATAAGTTCGTGCACTATTAATTATACCAATTTATTATTATAATTACCAGTTGTTCATATAAAAAACGATATTGACAGAGCATCGTGTCGGGGCGGATGCGGAGCCGCCGGCGTGCGAAGCCCGTCTCCTCAACGGCGACCTCTGGCGTCGTTTCCACGACATCGGCACTGAAATGATCATCACCAAGGGGGGCAGGTATGAGCGATTAACATTTTCATTAATAAACAACAGGAGAAAAGTAATAACGGCGCCATCTATTGTAACTGTGACGAACTAGGTCAATATTATATTTTTCTCTGAATTTTTAAATGTATTCTTTCATCCTTCAATTATATTTAAAAATCTTCTGAAAAGTAAAATGAACAATGTTGTTATCGTAATTAGCGTGTGTGTGTTTGTGTGTGGTAATAAAAAAGTCGTAATAATAGAAAATTCATATTTTTTAAGTGAATCTAGAATAATTGCCTTAATTTAAATCCTTTTGTAGTTAATTTTGTAGATATTACTCGTTAATTCTTTTTCGTTCATATTTCCACACAAAAAATTCCGTCTGCAGTGCCAATCTATAAAAATACAGCGTCGAACGTAGCATTAGTTCAATAAATCAAAACCTGTTTCAAAAGGCAATAAAGGTTTTATTAAAAACTGCTTTAGAATAGAAAAGATGAAGTTAATCTTTCTACTAATTAGAAGAACTAGTTACTGGTCTCTTCAAATTATTGAAAGATGTTTTCTATCTTTTCTTTAAATGATTATAAGTTAATGCTATGTAGCATAATAAACAAAATTCAATGACAATTATCTTGAAAAAAAAAAGAACAATTTTATCAGAGTCCAGGCTGATTTAAAAAAAAAATAATATGTAAAATTTTCAAAAAATAATAATTTGCTTCATATTTTCTATTTAAGTATCCACTATAGTTTTTCTTGCCAATAATTGAGTACATACTTAATGAGCTTTATAAATTGGAGTTGAAGCCCTGTCTTCTAATAATTTTATTTGTGCAAGATGAGTGAGCACATGGTTCAATTTAAACACCAAATTATTTTTTATTGTTTTATTACCCAAAACAAATATTTTCTTCTAAGACTAGACTTCTAAGGTTAAGACTTGCTGTGTTCTTTGTATTTGAATTTAGGTAATGTAAAATATTTTAGCACAAGCTTAAAAAAAATCTGTAAAGTATACATTTGTAATATTTTTATACAGTTAATAGATTATTAAATACAATAAAAATATTTCAAAATTATTCATATTATATTGTCAGTCAGATTCCTAAAGTTTCTTTAAAAAAATCGATTGTAGATCTTCATCTGTTACTGTTTAGGTTGAAAATTGATTTAGCTAGTGTGTTACCTTCATATACTGTTGTATAGTTATTTTTTCAAAATACATTAGTGGGTCCGTCTAATTATGTGCTGCCGTAATAACGTATAGATAATAATTGGCCAGAAAATTACCACAGAACCGAATAACAGATGCTTTGACGAATTTGATGTTTTCAAAATTATCATAAAATCTGCAATTAATTCATATTCAAACGCCGCCTTCAAAATAAAAAGGAGATTTTTAATATTCTGGTGGTCATGGTTTTAACGTGTTTTTTTTTTATATTTGATAGAGTACTTTCGTAATGGTTTCATAGAAATTTCATCAAATTCGATTGAGCAATTTAGTTTTATATCGAATAGTAAAAGACATCGAAGTAGGTATGGGATATAGTCTTAGTAATTCAAAATAGCTTTCACCTTTTGAAAAAATAATAATTCGTTATTTATGGACTCTTGTAACAATCTAGATCAGTTGTGTTCAACTTTACTTTAATTGGGGCTCCAAAGACTTATAAGATGCGGGCCGCGAGCGAAAATGATTTAGTTATTAATTAAAAAGTATACGTAATTCAAAGTATTTTGTGATGAAAGATGGAGCTTTAACAATGTTTTTATTTCAATTTTTTATTATTTTTTTATATAATATATGGTTCGATGCTCTGTCAGTCCAACAACAAACTGTAACACCCTAAGGGTACCATTTTCAATTAATAGTTTATAATAAAAATATTTAATATATATATAAATATAATTAAAATATAACAATTATAACTAAAATTCTTTACACTGCCATTTACACAAGACTTTAGCGTCATATATAAGAGACTAATTGAAACAAAAATCCACAGTAACATTTGATACATAGGTATATGTTGAATTTTTTTTAACTTAAGTAAGTTTTCAAACTTTTCAAAGTAATATTATTTTTAAGCCCCGAAGGCCTGCTGATTTAATATGCAGCTGTGTAATAATTTGTTAAAATATTTTTTAAGCTTCATCAAGGTAAAGGTTAATTTTAACTGTCTGTAGATGCCGCTATATATATTATTTGTTGGTTAAAGTAAAATGGAACCGTTAGGTTGTTCCTTAAACATTTTATTCGGAGTAATCCTGAAATAAAATTTCACATATTTTATACAAATACACAGAGAGAGCCACAGATATTTTTCCTCGATGCTTGATTTATTGAAATATTTTCATAAACAACCTAGACGTTGGATTAACTATTGTGTGTCAAGTTTCTGCGCATGCTGTGCAGGTATACCATTCTCAAAAAACAGACAAATGACAGAGGTCGACACTGACTTGTAATGATAGTGATAATCATTCTTAAATTATTTTGCTTTAAGTTGTGCGTTGATAGGTTAGTCAATCGCCTTTGCATTTAATGGGTATTATAAGAAAGATCATAGATATAAAATAAGAAAACGGTATTTACATAGCACAACTGTTTCTGCAACAAATTAAAATAGCTGCCATTATAAGTCACTAATGTACTTTCTATAAACGACTATCACAATACTAACGATTCGTGAAAATATCTCTTCGTGTTAGTCCACACAACAAAATGATTAAACGACGCAGCTGCCCGTGAATGGAATTTACTAAAACACATTACTTACTCGTCATAAATTACGACAAAAACTTAACAAAACCCATTAGGGCTGCCGAATCTGACGCGGACCTTGTTAACGGATGATTTGGGAGCAGCCCGGACCTCCATCATAGACAAAACAAACAGCTGCCTCGACGGCAATTTGTGCATTTCTCTAAATGGCCGAGCACAAATTACACCTTATTATAAGCTTGTTTGCTTTACGACGGTACCCCTTCAATTATTTTTTTTTCCTCGATCGATAATGTGGAGGGCAGTGAAGAAATTACACAGTGCTGGCGAGCTCGGCGCCTCCTTCCTGTCAACGAATGAGCGGTGTAGACTCGTCGCGGCCGAGTAGCAGCCCTGCGGCGACGCTTGCGCATTCATCCTCGTACGAATAACACCAGAAGAAAGTTCGATCGATAACGAACATTGCATCGCCCTGAATCATTCGGTAATTAGGGTTGTGTAATTAAATCTTGAGATTGTGTCGGTTGTTAAATATGGCCGCTAAAAAGCAGTTTCTTACGCATCCGAATAGCGATCGTGCGACAGGGCTGTAAGCGGCGCGCTTACACCTTGTCCGCGACCAGGTTTTTGCGGGCCCGATTATTAAGGTGGGCTCATCAGTGCTGCTGTCATCTTGTACACGTTTTTTTCGTGGGTCCGCCGGCGGACCACCGCGCAGCCGCGGTCCGGTTAACATCCCAATAATTTACCGCTTTATCCGGCGGTTTGTGAATCTCGTTAGCCGTCCGCGTCCGTCTAGAGGTCACTTTTGTTTGTTTTGTATTAATGATGCCGCGTGAGAGAGACCGGGGGCGAGCCGGCGCCGCGCTCTCCGTGGCGCCATACCCGCCGAAATGGCTCAAAAATATTTCATTTATTTCTAGCCCTCCATGCGTGTTCGATGTAATTGAGTTATTCCTATCGTGAGGCGTTCTCTACGAGACCTTTAATAGGAGAGTATAAACTTTTAGTCGTTGTTTGACTACGGAGCTAAAGGCTTTCCTTAAATTCTTTACGAGTTCTGTTGCGTTGTCAAATGAAATGCGCAAACAACGAGATTTGGGCGGATCGTTTGCTCGGCCCTCAGAGTTAACACCTGCGACCGCCATACTTGCTCGCTTGTTTGTTTGACGGTGGATTTGTGGCAACAGTCCCCTTAATTTTCCCACCTGTGCGTGGATGTAAATTGGATATGTATATAACACCTGGATATGTACGAGATATGTTGTTGTGCATCACCACTTAACAGTCTTACACTCTAATAATACAAACCTTTGTGTTGAACACTCTTAAAGCTAATTCAAAGCTATTAAATATCTTACTTGATTGTTAAAAGTGGTCTATTTCATCCTCCTGACATACTAACATTATGCCATCTTGCGTCATATCTCTTTTACAACAACAAAAATTGATATGTTCCAACTGTCTATTCTTGTTTATAGATATAATACTTAACCCACAATAATCGTTACACAAACAAACACTGGTTAAAATAGACTAGGTTATTTATTTTTTCTCTAAACCCAAATATGACAAATGGTCGAGGCGCGCGGGCGAGCCGCTCGCGTGTCGTCGCGAGGACCTCCCGCCATTTTAAAAACAAACAGACAACATAAAAACTTGTTATTTATTTTATGTTATTCGTTGGGAAGAGCGAGCCCGATTTCGCTGAAAAAAATTATAACCTATAATTAAAATCCACTCGAGCTTTACGCGAAAGCAAATAAGACGCAAGGTGTTCGAAAACCGTGAGCTTTGCCTCCGGCGCAATATACTTCGATTACAACATGGTCATTGCTCAATCAACGAATCTTAATTATCGTTTTCTCCGTTGTTTAATGAGATAAAATTCGTAATCGGAAATCTCTTCTATGAATTCATATAACGTAAAGCGGTATGCTCGTTCAGCGCTTGTTTTAACAGAAATACCGATTAATTGATTCGATCTGTGTCGTAATTAAAATGGGTGATTAGGGCGCGGGGACCGGCGCCGGCGCCTCAAAGCGTCGCCGGCAACATTCCTTTTGTTTTACCACGGGTCGTTTGTCGCCTGCGTGCTGCTTGCTGTGTGTTCTGTTTCGCTCTGACGTATGACGGTGTGGGGCGGTGTGAGCGAGAGATGCGCGGGCGCCGACCTCCTGGTGAGCGACGGCCGCCCGCCGCGCGCCCCGCCCAGTCCCGCACCACTTATCAGATTATGACAGCAGTATTCCAACGCAACCACATCATCTCTCGTCACTCCTGTCTCTTGGTCTTGACATTGGACTTCGTTTAATGCCGATGAAGCGTCAGATCTTACATTTTCGATTTCGAATCAATATACCTCGTCTTTTGGCAACTATATTAATATCTAAAAAAATGCATTTCTGTATTGAATGCATTTTAAAGAAATGCCTTTTCATGACAATGATGTTCTGTTAAAAAGTTTTCTATTTCTATTTGAGAAGCGTTATTATTGTAGTGGTATAAACAATAAAAAAAAGATAAACTATTCAATCACTTTTCAATTGTTCCAAATGCTCACAACTAAATCGGTTTGTTTGTCCAATTTAAAAATGATAGAAAGCGTTTACTATAATGATGGCTTCGATGAAATTGTGAAAACTTTGTCACGCTGCTTAAAAACCGTAACGTCATTTTGTGTAATGGGTAATTCCGCCCTGCAGTGCACCGTGACCGGAATCCGAAGCACGCGCCGACGAGTCGCCGTCACGAGCGATCGTATCGCAATATCTCCTGGGAACACTTCACCCCCGGTTGTCAATAAGGCTCAGATACAACGCCTTCCATTGCGTTCATCAAATAAACTGACTCGACAAGTTCCTTAACCGGACTAGTCATCTATCTCTCACGTTGCGGAAAACCTCGACATTTTTACAGCATTCTCTCAACGTAACAAAATCCGCACAGTCATCTCGGACTCCCGCGCTTCTGCCCCTCACCGTAATCTAAAACAATCGACGAAAAAGAAACAAAAGCCAACCCAGTAATATTTCGAATTAAGTTTAAAAAAAAACATGTTCTTCGGAGCGAGCCGCGATAAGTTTTTTGCTCGCAGCTACCCTGATGATAATTTCTCATTAGGTTATAACATTTTTAGTCGGTTGAATCGTCGTAAATTCCTCGAATGTTTTACGGAAGAAAGTGGCGTTGTTGAAGTTTTGTTTTTATGGCGCCAACGAACAGGCCGGGATAGATCGGTATCAGCCGATACAACCGTTTAACATGTTACGTGGAACTGAATAATATTACCGCCAGTTTGGAGTCCGTTCGGAAACAAATTGTAATGTGGACGAATGAGACGACTCGGATTTTTCAGAATGTGCCACTTGAATAGTCAATAATTACATTCTGAATAATCGTCACTTATTCAGTTTCTATTGAAGGAATCTCTTTGCTGTGACAGCGCTGTGTTTAACACTACATTTTTATAGATGGC